TTTTTGTTACACTGCGTCAAGGGGTTGCTGCTCAAAATGTTATGTAACATGGATTAGAACGTTATCTTGCTAAGATAAAAAAACAGGCCTCTATTTATATAATGGGTGCCCCTAAAAAAGAATAGGCTCTGTTTAACTTTCCAGTACCGGTGGATGTTCTCCCTGTCAGTCAGAGAGATGCAGAGAAATGTCAGCAGTTTGACATTTGACCCAAGTTTTTTTTTCTTGAGTAGTCAAGTGAAGTGAAGAGTGAAAGCCAATAAATGGACAGATGCTAGTCATGAGCTTAAACCCAAATGTGCTGTGTGTAAACATTAAATTTTTTCATTCTGCAAGGTGAGACAGCAGGAAGTAAAGGCAAAACAATACGGATAGACCTACAACAGCCCAGGCTGATCTAACAGGTTTAAATTGACATAGAGTGAGTAAATGAATCTTCATTTTTGATCGTACTATTCCTTTATGCCATATTTAATTAAATCTGAAAATGTACATAAGAATCACTTACTAAATGATTTAGACACATTCTTTCATGAATGAGGCCCACTGAGTTTAATATTAGAACATTTAATCATTCGCGGATCTAAATGATTAAAAAGCCATGATACGATTGTAAAAATGACTGAATAAATGAATAATATTAATCATAAAAACAAGTATACAAGACAAATGTGTGCTGATTTGTGTTAGTTTTTGGTCTGAAATAAACATTTATATTTTTATTTTGATTCCCTCTTATAGACTTTCATCACTGAGCCAATAAACACGCCGCCTGGTTGTTGAACAAAATTTAGGAAATAGTTTTTTTTTACATTGAATGTGTGTGTTTTTACACAAGAACTTTCATTTGCACCTACTTGGGTTGTTGTAATGTTCATTTCACCAGAAACATTCAACAAAAATAAAAATTCTGCAGAACAACCCGGGTCTTACATGGAAACTCTTTGATGTTACTGTAAAAAGAAAGAAAGAATTATAAAGATAGACAGAAAAAGATAGTGTGAGAAATAATATTACAGGAACCTCATTTTCAGTGCATTAAAAGGAAGGATGTGCTATAAATAGAAAATATGTCCCTGTGTCCCTGCACCTTCTGACCTGAAATATAGCTTAGTGAAATGTTAACGTTCTGGAGCAGGGCACAGGTCATCTATATAAGTTTTTCTTTTTTTCCGAAGAGCTATACCACAAACACAGTCCCTTTCCCCCCACTTTTCAGTATCACAGTCACAATCATGCTTTTGTTCTAAATATCAACATGGCTGTGATATGCCAGCCATAAATAATCTATAAATAATTAGATAACTGCATCTAACTGTTATATAATTTCTATGAAGATATTGAAAATACCTAATGTGGTAGAAAACAGTGTGGGCTAATCATTGCGAACTGTTGTGCTGTGGCAAGCCTACAGACTCGATACAATAACATGGTTAATATTTTTCCGGTCACTGACTGTAAAAATGGATTTATGTGGAAGATCATAGGTCAAATTCTCATTAAAAAAAAATTTAATTAGAAGCCTGGTACAGTGTAAACAAAACGCTTCTCTGCAGGAGTCACAGCACTTCCTTTAGTTTAATGAGAGCTTGTGTGCTGCTCAATAAACTAAGCTGACAGGAGTCAAATGCCACTATTTATGCTTCTTACACAATATTACTGCCTTATAGGTTTTTGAAGATGTGACAAGCACTGTAGACTTAAGATTTAATGCCACGAGACAGCAGATGTAAATGCTAATTATAATCCTTTACCGTTTTGCCATTGTTTTAGTTCAGCCTGCAAGTAGATAAATTTGGGCTTATGATATGTGAAGAATACAGTCAACAGTTCATTGTTGCAAAATACATTTTAGGATAATGGCCAGCTGAGAGTAGGCCTACATTATCCCAAAATAAATGATAATGTGTTCATAATGTAGTCATGAACATGAAGTAGGTCTGCAAACATTTAGTCAATGCAAATGGAAATTACCATTACACTTTTCGGAAAATAGAAAATAGTGATCTTTGACATTGCATTTTGTTGAATATCAAAGCTTTTTGTGTCTATTTGTTAATGAGGGATTTGTGCACATCAGTGTTTTTAGATTTGTAAAAATCATAGTTTTTAAGGGGGCATCTTCCCCTATATTTAAAAAAGCTACACAAGTAATGGTTATCCTGCATGTTACCAGAATGTTTTTATTTGTCTCATAAATGTGACACTTGTAGCTGAGTTGTAAAAGACTCAGCAAGGTTCATTTTGTTGGATATGAAAGTTATGTTCACAGCACTGCAAAGCTGTCCATTGCTTGAAATAGGATCCATACATGGGTAAGTTTAGTATGGTGATTCCAAAATCAAACTTGCAGAGACCAGCGGCGGTTCATGGAGGAAGCGTATGAACACTGTGAGCATGGAATGTGAGAGCACATGTGCCTTTGATGCACCTCTGTCATTGCCCAAAGGACCCTTAATTTTAGCCACCTCAGTGAGAGAAAGTGCGATTGCCAAGGTGAAAAGACAATGGAAAAAAAGGAAAAGGAAACAGAAGCTAGCGTATATGGGAAATGATAGTGACTTTAAGTTTTCAACACAACTGTATTTTAAAACCATGATGTCTTAACATGAACTATGGAAACTATCAACTATGATAATTCACTACATCATCTCTACAGTTTGTGCAGTTAACGCAAGGGCAGTAGTTATGCAAAGTTAAATAAACTCTAAAACTAATATATCACATGCATTCAAATATATTGCAAACACTTGCCGCAAACACTCTGTATGCAGTTATTGTCATTTGGTATTGACAACCCCCTCTGTTCATGTTCAAACAAATATATGAGGTAGAATGTTTCTTCCCTTAAGCAACATTGTGCCTTTTCATTTTCATCTCAATGGGAGATGTATTAGGAATGCAGGTCTTTAATACATTCACAGCTGGAACATTGCACGCACCAAAGCCATTATGGAAATTTTGTTGCAGTGATGGATGGTTTAAACTAGAATGACACATAAGAAGAATATGTATTAGTCAATGCAAGCTGCATAAATATTTGAAATGCGCACAAAAGCAGCCTTGAACAGTGTTTTATCATTTCTACTGCTTCACTAGAAAAATGTAACTGGTCACAAGCTGCACTCTAAAAGCAAGAGAAAAAATATCTCTCATATCTCATCATAACATAGAATCCAGCTATTCAGTTTGTAGTCCTAAAACCCGAAAGAAAATTTTAAGTTAGGGGTTTTTAGAATGCTGGTTTATGATTTATGAGTAAAATAAGGTCTGTGTTTATTATTTGGATATATTTCCACATTTTGTTCAAGAACATAAATTACAAGCATACCCCAAGAATGAGTTTTGAAGCTTCAGTTTTTTCAAAAAAACAACAACAACAAAAAAAGGACAACTACCAGAAAGACGAGAATTTATGACAACTGTTAGGCCTTTTTTTTTTTTTTTTTTACTACATTCATTATACACTTAAATGCCCATAACGTTTTGGACAAGATCACTTTTCCTTTATTGACGCATTTCCTATTGAAACAAGATGAGGCCGTGTTGTGATCAGTGCAGTGCGATTGCCGAACAAATGACTCTTATGAGCCGGTTCTTTTTAATGAATCACAAAATACAGTGCGACCAAAGCAGTCTGACTGCAGTACAAATGACTCTTATGAGCCGGTTCTTTTTAATGAATCACAAAATACAGTGCGACCAAAGCAGTCTGACTGCAGTACAAATGACTCTTATGAGCCGGTTCTTTTTAATGAATCACAAAATACAGTGCGACCAAAGCAGTCTGACTGCAGTACAAATGACTCTTATGAGCCGGTTCTTTTTAATGAATCACAAAATACAGTGCGACCAAAGCAGTCTGACTGCAGTACAAATGACTCTTATGAGCCGGTTCTTTTTAATGAATCACAAAATACAGTGCGACCAAAGCAGTCTGACTGCAGTACAAATGACTCTTATGAGCCGGTTCTTTTTAATGAATCACAAAATACAGTGCGACCAAAGCAGTCTGACTGCAGTACAAATGACTCTTATGAGCCGGTTCTTTTTAATGAATCACAAAATACAGCGCGACCAAAAGCAGTCTGACTGCAGTACAAATGACTCTTATGTGTGCTGGTTCTTTTAAATCAAAAATACAGTGCAGCCAGTGTAGTCCGATTCTCAAAAGGTTCACTCAGACCAATTTCTGAAATAATCAGACTCACTTAGTTTACTTAACCACAAGTTTAGTTTCGTCATTTCTGTCTTAAAATGAACCAATTGTCATGTAAGCCGAAAACTCTAGAGATGATTTGTAATTATACTTGTTTGTTTGTTTGATCTACTTTGTTGGATCTGAATCTTATATCAACAAGCTGCCGAGGGTCTTTTTCAAATGTGTACTCCTCAAAAGTAGCTGGAATCGTTCAGAAGAATCGGAACCAGAATAGTTCACGCGACCAAAAGCAGTCTGACTGCAGTACAAATGACTCTTATGTGTGCTGGTTCTTTTAAATCAAAAATACAGTGCAGCCAGTGTAGTCCGATTCTCAAAAGGTTCACTCAGACCAATTTCTGAAATAATCAGACTCACTTAGTTTACTTAACCACAAGTTTAATTTCGTCATTTCTGTCTTAAAATGAACCAATTGTTGATTTGTCATGTAAGCCGAAAACTCTAGAGATGATTTGTAATTATACTTGTTTGTTTGTTTGATCTACTTTGTTGGATCTGAATCTTATATCAACAAGCTGCCGAGGGTCTTTTACAAATGTGTACTCCTCAAAAGTAGCTGGAATCGTTCAGAAGAATCGGAACCAGAATAGTTCAATTCCTCGCGATTCCTCATTTCCCTGTTTCTGACAGGCATGCGATGTGACCTGCGGTAAAGGAGTGACGCGCATGAAATCCTGAAACCTGCCCACAGTTTGCGAACACACGGAGAGCGCGGAGACGGATAGTGAACGCGCTCATGATGAGAACAGCCCGTCCAATTATCCGTGTGCCCCCTTTGGACACTCCCTTCTCACTTCAGTGCTTACTCATCCACGAAATCCAGCGCTGGATTCCAAGATACTGCTCGCGTGGAGATTTAAAACTGGACAGAGGCATGATAGTCCAGAAGAGAAGACGGAGGGATGCCAGTGCGTTTGGTGCCAAGATTAACATCCAGTTTTTGTCTGTGTGCTCCTGAGAAGAACAGAAAGACAAGTCAAGTGGTCTAGCACTCAAGACAGCTGATGAGGAGCAGCAGGAAGAAGAAATCTGACAAAGTAGTAAGTGCGCAGTGTTTGTTTGCATAATTGAATTGTTTATCATGTGTTGCATAGTAGCCTAAATTTGGCATGATACTTAACCCATTCAGGCCTGACTTATGTTTGTGGGACATCAAAATATGGTCATGCTTTAATTATTTTCGAAATGTAACCATAATTGGTAACCGATCAAAATAATAATATTTTTTTTCTTTTTTGATAGTTCTTTCTTCATAAGGATAGGCATATATTCTGAACGGTAGTCAATTTGGATAATTATAGATATTTGTGCAAGAGAACGTTAATGCAATATCATTGTAGAATCGGTTCTAAAATCACGGTGTTTCCTAAAAATAAATAATACAATTATAAATATTAATAAAGTAGCTGGAATTCAGTATCATTGAAAGCAGATAAAGGTAAAATATAACTGTAAACACGTAAAACAGTGTAAGATCATTATTGCAATACACTTGCTACAATGGTGATGGCTATTGGATTGCATTCTGCAGGGTCTGAACCTGTAACCTTTCAGTGACCCGCTCAGATTATGTATCACAGCGCCACACCACCCACACAACTTTGACATGTTTCCAGATTTGTAGGAGGAATATTACTGCAATCAGTTTTGCAGTACAGCACTGCCTATCATAAAATAATAAATTCTTTAATGTGATATAATGACTTGTCTTACTAATATCACCTTTTAGGTTCAATGCGAAACAGTCCAAATATTATTTATGTTGTTTTAAGTTTGGAAATGGGAACAAAAACATTTTCAAAACACAAAAAAGAAGTGATTTAAATGGATCTGCATGTGTTAAAAAGAATGAATGGAAAAGAATGAAAAAGTGGACATGTTGCTGGAGCCCTCTGGGGCTTCATAACTAACAGATCATTAATAAGCGGGAAATCTGCAGCTCTAAATTAGTGCTAAAACTTGTGTTGCCTTGCATAACATACTTCCACACACTGCATACTGGATACTACCGAGGAGAACATTACGTTCACTATCACTGGTTTGCTAGAGAGGCTTTTCACACTTGGCTGGAACACTGCAGAAGTCAGGGGAAAAAGAAACAAATTAAATTCCTCATGGATGAAGGGCCAGTTTCACTTCTTCTATGATGTTCTTGTGTAAATGCTTGCAATTAGAAATAATCAGTCAAATGTTTGAACATATATCATGAACACAATGTTCCCAGTGTACAAACTCAAAATACTCAATGATTTTGATTCAGAATAATAACAAGCTATAAATGTACGTCCATAATCTAAATCATATTCATCACTGTTTTTAAACCCTGCAGCTGTCTGTGCTTTTAATAGCTGCTATTATTTATTAACGGCACCATGTAAAAAACATGAATGTGTTTTCATTCATGTACAAAGACATAGAAAAATAATATTAGAAATATCTGTAAACATAGCAGAACTCTTTAAATTGAAATACAGATAGTTAGAGAATTACTAAAGCTTCATCAGCAGTCATTTCTTTAAAATTACAGCTGTCTTTTATAACCCATCTCTTTCTCTCTCTCTCTCTTCTCGCTCTGCCTTGCCCTCTCTCTCTCTTTGTTCGCCCCAGTGGCTGCACCTGATCTTTTAGATCCTAAATCAGCCACACACAACACCAAACCACGGCTGTCGTTCTCCTCCAAGCCCATTGTATATAACACGGGGGATGATTGCGATACCATAACCACCGTAATGAAGTGGAAAACAGTAGTGGCAATCTTCCTGCTGGTTGTTCTGTATCTGATAATTGGAGCCACGGTGTTCAAAGCCCTGGAACAGCCCCAGGAGAGCTCTCAGAAGTACCTCATCATGCAAGAGAAAATTAACTTCCTTTCCAGGCATGCCTGTGTCAATGCCTCTGAGCTGGAGGACCTGGTCAAGGTACAAATTCCAATTATTTACCTGTGTGCTTGAAATGAAAATTCACAGTATCTGTTTGTATGGGTAAAAAATAGCCTTCTGGATATTGATTCAAAGCATATAGTGGTTTTGTCTGCAGGATGTTAGGAGAATAGACTAATCTTTGCCAAAATCAATAATGACAGCTCGGAAGTTGGCAGAAATGGTCTGTAGTCTGATTAATTGGAGCCAGAAAACACTAATTGGACATGAATTGTTCTGTGCATGTTGTTCTGTTTCTGAAGAATGATGCAGTCTCATTTCTTAAAAAGATTGTAATGCCGAAATCATAAACATTTCAGATCAATCTGATCTGTTTTGACTGTATTTTTGTAATATTCATAGGCTTAAAACTATATATACACGTGATCTGCTCTCCAAATTGAGGTTGCTGGCAGTCGGGTCTGTTATAATTTTCTTTTAAATTAGTTGTAGTGAGTTCACTTAACGCTATTTCACCTGTGTGGAAATTAAATCTGCTCTTGGCATTACATCACTAATTAGCAGTCTGTGGTATTTACCTTTGTGCAAGAAGTAGTTTGAATATAAAGTGACATTTTATAAGTGCAGAGTTTATCGTCTGCTGCAAAATGTACTAAATTGTTCTGGTAGCAATTTAAAGGTCTTGGATGATTGTGTGTCATTAGCTCGGTTTTCATCCACATGTTTTTATGTGAATCTTGACAAAAACAGAATGTTTTCAAGGTACAAACTCCAATTATTTACCTGTGTGCTTGAAATGAAAATTCACAGTATCTGTTTGTATGGGTAAAAAATAGCCGTCTGGATATTGATTCAAAGCATATAGTGGTTTTGTCTGCAGGATGTTAGGAGAATAGACTAATCTTTGCCAAAATCAATAATGACAGCTCGGAAGTTGGCAGAAATGGTCTGTAATCTGATTAATTGGAGCCAGAAAACACTAATTGGACATGAATTGTTCTGTGCATGTTGTTCTGTTTCTGAAGAATGATGCAGTCTCATTTCTTAAAAAGATTGTAATGCCGAAATCATAAACATTTCAGATCAATCTGATCTGTTTTGACTGTATTTTTGTAATATTCATAGGCTTAAAACTATATATACACGTGATCTGCTCTCCAAATTGAGGTTGCTGGCAGTCGGGTCTGTTATAATTTTCTTTTAAATTAGTTGTAGTGAGTTCACTTAACGCTATTTCACCTGTGTGGAAATTAAATCTGCTCTTGGCATTACATCACTAATTAGCAGTCTGTGGTATTTACCTTTGTGCAAGAAGTAGTTTGAATATAAAGTGACATTTTATAAGTGCAGAGTTTATCGTCTGCTGCAAAATGTACTAAATTGTTCTGGTAGCAATTTAAAGGTCTTGGATGATTGTGTGTCATTAGCTCGGTTTTCATCCACATGTTTTTATGTGAATCTTGACAAAAACAGAATGTTTTCAAATTTCAATCAAATTTCTTAAATGTGCATAAAATCATGAACACTTGGGATGGAAGTGCTGCTTTCTTCATAATATGTTTTTTTGACATGTAAATAAATAATAATTGTAATAATAAATAATAAATTAACATTTAATTTGCAACTTGGATGGAAGCTGCTTATTTATTTGATGTTATATTTGGAGAATATTTCTTTATATGATTTGCATACTTCTAGTGCAGTTGTAGGGTGTTGGGATGTGTTAAAGTAACATCCTACCATTCCTGCAGTTCTCTGACAGCCCATAATTCTACCTTTTCCAACTCCTCCCCATTTTCTAGCACCCCTCCCCCTTGCTCTTACAATAAATTACATCCCAACACACTGCATTCACCTACTTCCCATCTCTTGATTATTGGTGTTACAACACTCACATTCACACACCTCTGAACAAATGTTCATTCCTGCCAAGTTGCTTTGCTGCCAACAGTCCAAGTCCAGTGGTGATTGTGCCGACACTTGGAAGGTGTTCACAAACAGGAAAACCTCCCCATGGAATGAATGGCCTCTCTTTGTCTCTCACTTTTGGCTGAGCTCTCGTGCAGCCTGCTGGGAGCAGGAGGCGTTGGGGAGCAGATGGGATACGCTGAGGGGTCTTACAGCATCCCTGCTATACAGTATATAGGCCAGGAGAACCTGCACACTCATGTGCAGATGTTTTTGAAAGTGTTTACATTTCTCACGAACTGCTTAGTGAAAATGTGCCCAGTTTTATTTATTTATTTATTTTTTACTACAGATTTCTAGGCTGTGAGAATATGGCTGGAATATGGAATGAATATTACATTTCATTATTGCAACTTTATTATTCAGTTTTCAGTTTTCCATTATTTGGACATTATCTCATAATTGCAACTTTTTTATTTTAAAAAACATTTTATGTCATAATTGCAACTTTTATTTTTCAATTTTGCAATGGAATGTTCAAATAACGGTAAAGTGCATCTCATTATTGCAACTTTAAAATTCTTTGCAGTGCAGTTTTTCAATTATTTGGACATTACATCTTATTATTGCAACTTTATTTTTCATTTTTCAATTTTTCACAATTTGGTCATTACATTTTTGCAACTTTATTTTTCATGTAAAATTTTTCATTATTTGGTCATTACTTATCATAATCGCAAATGTATTTTTCAGTTTTGTTATCCAATTTACCATTATTTGAACATTAATTTTATTATAATTGCAACTTTATTATTATTATTATAATTTTTTTTTTTTTTTTACAATTTTCCATTATTTCAACATGCATCTTGTAATTGCAACTTTTTTTCAATTTTGCAGTATGATGTTCTGTTATTTGGACATTATATCACGCAATTGTGACGAGATGACCATAATACATTCTTGCATAGAAAATATGGAGTCGGTATGACATGGTAAGGGAGTAAATTATAACTTTTATATTTCTGGTTTCTATTCCTAAAAGTTCTTTTCTAGAAGTGTTATTTTCCCACATTTTTAGTTTAAGATTGTAGTGGTTTGTATAATTTTTGGAGATTATTCCTGACCTGTTTTCTCATCCACAGCAAGTGGTGTTTGCTATCCGGGCCGGGGTCAATCCCTCAGGTCACCCCTCCAATGAGAGCAGCATGTGGGACCTCAGCAGCTCTTTCTTCTTTGCAGGGACTGTCATCACCACTATAGGTGAGTAGCAGCTGGACTCATTATGAATTCTCTAATTGATTCTTTAATTGATTAGTGACATTTTGAACTTCATTGTCACTTCATTAAGGTGACAAAAGCAACTTGGTGAAACAAGTGGAAAGTAAAATGAATAGACCAGAAGAAGGGCTGCATAATTAAAAATATTTTCGATTATAGTTGCTGGAATTAATTAATCTTGAAATGTGTAAATTACAGCATTCCATTTAGGTGTGCTCCTGTAAGTCAGTCAGCTTGTTTTTAGTGTATAGGATCTTAATGTTTTAGAAAGAAGCCTCTTATGCTCACCAAGGCATTTATTTGGTCAAAAATACAAAAAAACAGTAATGTTGCGAAATATTCTTAAAATTTAAATGAACATTTTTTTTCTATTTTAATATATTTTAAGATGTAATTTATTCCTTTGATGGCAAAGCTGTATTTTCATCAATCATTACTCCAGTCTTCAGTGTCACACGATCCTTCAGAAATCGCTTTTTCTGATTTACTGATTTGGTGCTCAAAAACATTTCTGATAATTATCAATGTTTTTTTTTATTAATAAAAGTTCAAAAAGCATTTATTTTGAAATAGAAATATTTTGTAACATTCTAAATGCCTTTACTGTCATTTTTATCCATTTAATGCATTGTGACTGAATAAAATCATTAATTTCTTTCTTTCAAAAGCTTACTGACCCCAACTTTTTGAACGGCCTTTTTGTCAACGCTGTCCTGTGATTTATCAATAAAGTTGCTTAGAAACAGAAAAGTTATAGCGAAAATTTATTTGTGTTTTAAGTGATTAAAACCCACAGCTTCACTATTAGTAGATAGACGTTGCACAGAAGGGTCAGGACATTCACACATAGTCGCGCTCTCACTAATGCATTAATGTTACAGCACCAAACCCATCTAGCAAGCCTGTGACTACTTGTAGTGGTAGAGTGGTTAAGAAACCTGCTCGTTTCAAGCAAATGATTATGTAGATGTTTTAAGTATGTTTGCAAGTTGATTGTTTAGTCAGTTGAGATTGAAGCAAAATAGCTATAGTAAATATTATGTTTTCAGTAATAGTAACAAAGATAAGATAATTTGTTATTTGGTGGTATTTAAGTTCTTTAATACTAACTCTAGTGTAGTGATATCGCGAGAACAGAACGAGAATGAGATCGGCAGAGACGTGAGTGAGCATGTAGTTGAGAGTTGTTGATTAAAAGTTGATAAAGCATCAACAAAGTCCGATTATTGAGTCAGACAACACAACAGTGGTAATATCATGTCTTTTTCATTTTATAAGTGTTTGTATTTTTGAGGCAAACAAATACAAAAATGCCATAAATCCCTCCAAAACTCAAATGTGAGCAATATATGGCCATCAGAAGTTAAAGGGGGTGTCGCATCTTTGTCACTTTTATCCCCCCTGATTGACTTGGAGAAAGTTTTCTGTGATGGTGTTAGGGAACAGAGCAACTGGTGTGAATTCAGAATGAACTTGAGTCGATGATGTTTAGGATTGAGGATGCTGACTCACGGTCTGTTGAACCACACATAGTCACACTGTTTGCATGTATGCAGCTTCAGTGGTTACCAGCACAACAGACAATAAATGAGACACATCGTTACTCATTCGTTACTCAAATGAGACACACTTTTACTGTGCAAGACACATGGGCATAAAAATATTAGATATGACACGATCAGTGCTGGTTGATTTTTGGGAAACTTTTATCAGGCAGAGCAGCTATTTCATTAAAATCAATTGAGAGCTGAAAAAAAATGATTCAGATTTGGCCCACCGGCCACCACTTTGGGTTCTTATCTATGGTCTCTGACTTATTATCAATTATTACATGTTGTTTGTTTCTAGTTAAGGTCAGGAAATTAGATTTTATCTGAACAATGATGAGTTTGCCCACAGTATTGTTTGTATCAGGAGAAAACAGAAATACTGAAGCCATTAACACACGTTATACATTTTTACTGCTGAGAAGCTTAGGTCCTTATAGTTAATATGCTGGGACAAGTATATTTTTATCCAGCCATGAACATATGTGGATAAGTTTTACAAGAGAGACTATGTGTAAAGAAGACATTACAGTTATTCATCTCCATTGTGCCATGTGTAATTAAGGTTGTCTTACAGAGATCCAATTTTTATGGGTCTTTCAGGTTTTTTAAAATTTAATTAGATTTCAAAGAGGACAGATTGCATGAGGAGAGATTGAGCCCAGTTAATGAGCTTCAAGGAAAATGGAGACGTAATGGGATGGAGGCTCTTGCGGAAGTGCCCCCCACTGCTCTGCTTCTCTCAGGGTGGTTTTGTCCAGTGGCTTAGCTTTTTGCTCTTGTAATTGCTTAAATTCCTGCTGTGGTACAACCACAACTACTGGTATTCTCGCTGTCTCTAACTCTCCCATTTTAAACCTTTCTTGCAAAACAATGAATAGTCAAGTCAACTTTATTTCTATACTATGGAGACAGACCAGGTTCTGCTATAAAACAGCTCTGAAAGACAATAGGGTCATTATTTAGCGCAAGCCAGTTCCGTGTTTGTTCAGTTCAGCTTAATAATAGTGTGAAGTTCATAAATTTGAAACAAGTTCAATTCAGCTATAAGCATTTCTAACGCGTCCCAATCATAGTTTCCTAAAAACGTTTTTTTCAACCAGCACCAGCAGCTTGCAGTCTCACAGTTTTAAAGGAATATTTTAGTACAAATTAATCTAAATCTACAGAAGCTGTGGCATATTGTTGATTAACACAAAAAATTATTTTGACTCTCTCTCTCTCATTTTCTTTAAAAGATGCCAAAATCAAGGTGAGGCAGCTACAAAGGAAATAAATGGAGGCAATTTTTGAAGTATTTAGAAGCATAAATGTGAAGGTTATAATTTTATAAAAAACACTTGCATTAAATCTTCTGTTAAAACTTGTGTATTTTTAGAGTTGCAGCATTATGTTGTCATGGCAACAAAGTTGTAAAATTGCCACAAGTGCTGTTTGAGCTTAACTTGTACTGAAACCCAGAAAATCCCTTGAAGTGAACCCAAAGATTGAAGATTGATTTTTTTTTATTGAGTTTAAATCAAGAAAAAAGCCAATTTCATGGGTGAATCTGATAGCAAGTATAATTTACTGAACCTCACTGTTACCCAATCTGCATAATGCACTTATTCCTCCTGTTTTCATGAGGCCTGAATACATTTTAAAATGAATGCATTTGCACATGCAGCTGAAATTCATTCTAATTGCGTTCCATTCATCGCATTTACATTTCTGTAATGATTTTACCTGGTTGTCATGGCAACAAAGTTGTAAAATTGCCACAAGTGCTGTTTGAGCTTAACTTGTACTGAAACCCAGAAAATCCCTTGAAGTGAACCCAAAGATTGAAGATTGATTTTTTTTTTATTGAGTTTAAATCAAGAAAAAAGCCAATTTCATGGGTGAATCTGATAGCAAGTATAATTTACTGTTACCCAATCTGCATAATGCACTTATTCCTCCTGTTTTCATGAGGCCTGAATACATTTTAAAATGAATGCATTTGCACATGCAGCTGAAATTCATTCTAATTGCGTTCCATTCATCGCATTTACATTTCTGTAATGATTTTACCTGCTTTGCTCTTGTGCTATAGCTAAATTTAGGCGTTGAATAGTCTTCACTAGGAGACTCTCCATGTAGGCAGGATAATACAGCCCTAATATTTCCTGACAGATAAATAAGGCGTCCCAACATAAATTCCCATAGAGCTGTCTGCACGCTAAATTGAATAAAGATCTTTCGAATGCACTAGGGGAGTATGATTCAAACATTTATTATCTGTTTGACTCAACAAAATATCTTTCAAGCTTTTGAAGCATTGAAATAATATTTCAGAAATCAAAGTATTACCTATTTATTTTGGCAGATTATACCCACACATTATGCCTGGGATCATCAGTCTTGCTGACAGAATGACTTCTGTTTCCGCAGGCTTTGGAAACGTCTCTCCACACACAGAAGGAGGCAGGATCGTTTGCATTATCTATGCCCTGCTGGGGATCCCACTCTTTGGGTTCCTATTGGCTGGAGTGGGCGATCAGCTGGGAACCATATTTGGCAAAGGAATCGCCAAAGTGGAAAAGATGTTTGTGGTGAGTGTTTCATTAAATTTAGCTTAAATCATTTAGCAAAACTAGCGAAATTAGGATATTCATCATTAATGCGTTTTATAATCTACAATTTTAATCCATGTACAATATTTTACATATAAAATTTCAGAAATTTTGGAATAAATTAAAAACATTTTCAGTTATTTTTAACATGCTAATCTGAACGGTATAAATAGCTATTCAAGTTAAAACAATAGATTAGATCAGTTCTGTGAAATATTTATAAAAATGTTATGTGAATTTACCACTATGGCAAGTCAAAAGATTACATCTAAAGCAATATTAATATATCATTCATTTAGAAAAACAGTCTGTGCTCCTCAAATCCCTTTAATCAGAAATGTACTATATTGTCTCCACTGTGGAAAAGATGTTTGTGGTGAGTGTTTCATTAAATTTAGCTTAAATCATTTAGCAAAACTAGCGAAATTAGGATATTCATCATTAATGCGTTTTATAATCTACAATTTTAATCCATGTACAATGAAAAACATTTTCAGTTATTTTTAACATGCTAATCTGAACAGTATAAATAGCTATTCAAGTTAAAACAATAGATTAGATCAGTTCTGTGAAATATTTATAAAAATGTTATGTGAATTTACCACTATGGCAAGTCAAAAGATTACATCTAAAGCAATATTAATATATCATTCATTTAGAAAAACAGTCTGTGCTCCTCAAATCCCTTTAATCAGAAATGTACTATATTGTCTCCACTCAATAAATCTCCTGCGGCTCTAAAATAATGATTGTTTTGCAGAAAGGCTTGGTTCTGTGGTGCCGTCACATTTGATGATTCAATGTAATTACTTAAGTGCCTCTGGCGGCCATCTTGTTTACACTCGATGCACATACACACTTTTATTCTCTGCTGAGCTTTTGTGTTTTTGCGCCGGAACAATTTTGAACGTTGACGTGTGCGATGAAGAGCACATTACAGTGTTTTTCAATGCAGCATAGTGAATTATTTATTGCTGGTGCACTCGTTCTTTTGTATAACACATAGTAAACAATTCTTGAAGGCTGAAAGGAAAAATACATCATTTTCAGGGCAAGTGTTTATTTCTCAAACTCTACTAAACTGAGTGCAGCTTTCTGTCCTGTGTTGACACATTTCTACATTTTATGGCCTTTAGTTACATAATGAATGATCATTTATGCTAATGGTTGGTTGCAGCATTTGATTGGACAAAACTCTGTGTAGTGCAGCATGAGCCATCAGTTTTCTTTGTCCATTTTGTATGATCTATATTTCCTGTTCCTATTTTTTAAATGTTTATATCTGCTAATATATAATATATATAATATATATTAAGCTAATACTTAAGCCAGGTGGATTATTCAGCAGTGTATTTGGGTATTTTCGGGCAATTGGGCAATAACTTAATAATAATAATACTTTTAATACTTTTATTAAGCATGGACACATTCAGTTGATCATTGTGAAAGTAAACACATTTCTAATGATACAAAAGGTTTCTGTTTCAAATAAATACTGTTCTTTGAACTTTCTTTTCATCAAATTATCCTGAAAAAAAGTATCACAAAAATATTAAGCAGCACAACTCTGACACTGAAAATAAGCACCAAATCAGAGTATTAGAATTGTTTGTGATCATTTGAAGGGTTTCTCAAAGCTAAAACACAATGATTAAAGCCCATAAAACTCCCACTTTGATTTCATAGGGTATTTAAACTAGTTATAGGCTAATACTTAAGCCAGGCGGATTATTCAGCAGTGTATTTGGGTATTTTCGGGCAATTGGGCAATAACTTAATAATAATAATACTTTTAATACTTTTATTAAGCATGGACACATTCAGTTGATCATTGTGAAAGTAAACACATTTCTAATGATACAAAAGGTTTCTGTTTCAAATAAATACTGTTCTTTGAACTTTCTTTTCATCAAATTATCCTGAAAAAAAGTATCACAAAAATATTAAGCAGCACAACTCTGACACTGAAAATAAGCACCAAATCAGAGTATTAGAATTGTTTGTGATCATTTGATACAGTCATCTTTGCCATCACAGGAATAAATTACATTTTAAAATGTGTCAAAAAAACAACAACAACATTCTCATCACATCATTCTCCATAATATTGCTGTATTTTTAAAAATAAATGCAGCCCTGGTGAACATAAGAGATTTAATACAATCTTACCAACCCCATACTCTTGAACAGTAATGTCGTTCTGTTTTCTGTATTTCTCATGTGTGACAGTGTATACTAGATGTCAGACGTTGTATAAGAGTGAATGTTTTCAGACAGTGTCTGGTCGAGTATTGTGGATGTCTGTCAACAGTGATTATAATGAGCTTAAGCTAGCATTCTTACCTCCCTTCTCCTCTGTTTTTCCTCTCAGAAATGGAATGTGAGCCAAACTAAAATCCGTGTGACATCCACGTTCCTGTTCATCCTGTTTGGCTGCCTGCTGTTTGTGGCCCTTCCCGCCCTCATCTTCCAGCACATTGAAGGCTGGAGCACTCTGGAGTCCATCTACTTTGTTGTCATCACTTTAACCACTATTGGATTTGGAGACTTTGTGGCAGGTGAATGAAGTCACTACTTTGTTCCTTCAGTTTCAATTTCAAGGTCTTGTGTTCATTTTTGAAAGTGAATAAATGCCCAGAAAAACAACACGAACATGAAGTAGTCAAGTTTAGTCATGAGTTCAGTGGGTTGATATGGGTTCATTTATCTCATTCAGGAGGCTCTGAGATTGAGTATTTGGACTATTATAAGCCCATTGTGTGGTTCTGGATCCTGGTGGGTCTTGCCTACTTCGCTGCAGTTCTCAGTATGATTGGTGACTGGCTTCGGGTCATCTCCAAGAAGACCAAAGAGGAGGTATGTGCTTGCTGATATGCTTTAAGGCAATACTGGGGCAAGAACTGCACTTCTTTTCCACTGCGCAGCAAAAATCAAACCTTCAGAAATGGTTCCCTCTCAATACATGATTGTGAGTGTGAATGTGAATTGAATTAGTGAACCACAGGATGTTGAACTAGAAAATAAATTGGAAATTTTATTTGTCCAGCATAACAAAATGGTTAGAACTAACACATGAAAAAGAAAAAAAAAGAAAGAAATCTGATAATTTGAAGTTTAGGCCTATTAAATGTTAAAACTGATTATATATTTACCCATTTTATCCTCAGAAATCACCCAAACATTCAAATTTATTTCAGGTATGGTATCAGTTTCAGCAATATAGACAGCACTTGGTTTAGAAAAGAAATGAAGTGGTATCTTACATCCCTAAAGCTGACATCATGCCGTTTGCCTCCATTTGGAAAACTTTGGAGTGAATTTAATATTTTAAATATAATCAAATCTTTAAAAAAAAAAAGTGATTAATAATATAATAATAAATATATTTTATTCAATATAATTTCATACTTTTATAAATACTTTTATCATTTTAGAAATAATACAAACTTAATACTTTATATATGTCAAGGTTGCATTAAAAATCAATCAAACAGCGACAGTATAATGTTATAAAAATTTATATTCCAAACAAATACTGTTGTTTTGAACATTCTATTCATCAAAGAATCCTGAAAAAAAAGTATCAGTTTGTACAAAAAAAATTAAGCCGCACTTTTTTCAACTTTGATAATAAAAAGAAATACCAAATAAATGCAGTCTTGGTGAGCAAAAGATTTAAAAAAAATAATAAAAATTAAAAAAAAAAATCTTACCAACCCCCAAATTTTCAATGGCAGTGTAATTTATAGTGATTTATTATACAATTTAAAAACTGCACTTACAGCAGTTATATTAATTTCATGAATTTCATTTCCATTTTGATTCTATATGGAATGAAATCTCAGATTTAAATTTGGATAAAAATTCTGCATTCTGTCTGCAACCTAAATTCAAATTGAGGAATTAAATGTGGAAATTTAGGGCATTCCCAACTCAGACATAAATGCACCTTTTTCTGTACATATGAATGTTTGCCAAGAAGTTACATCACAAAGTTTTCCATCACAACTGTACCCCAACAAAATACTGAGCTGTATTTCTAAACAATATAAAAGAGGTATTTGACTTTTATTGCTTATTTTTGATTTCTATAAAGTTTATGTAGCAGCACTATTGTAAATTATTTATGAGGCCTGTATAAAATGTTCCAGGTCATGTCAGAGTTCATTATATGTTATTGTGGCTTTGTTTGCTATGTAGTAGTATTACCCACTATTATACTATTACCCACCCTCTTAAAATCCATTTTGTAGTTGTTTATCGACCCCCAGGACCACTAGGTAACTTCGTGGAAGAATTAGATGTGCTGCTCTCAAACTTTCCTGAGGATGGTACTCCCCTAGTTATGCTTGGAGACTTCAACATCCACCTAGATAAACCTCAGGCTGCAGACTTCCACACTCTGCTTGACTCTTTTGATCTCAAGCGAGTATTAACTACGGCTACTCACAAATCAGGCAACCAACTGGACCTTATTTACACACGACACTGCTCCACTGATCATGTGCTGGTTACTCCACTGCACACCTCGGATCACTTCCTCCTCACTCTTAACCTCAACATGGTTCCTGACACAACACATACCCCTACACATGTCACTTTTCGACGTAACCTACGCTCTCTCTCACCCTCCCGGCTATCGGCTATGGTTTCATCTTTGCTTCCTTCCCCTGAACAGTTATCATCTCTTGATGCTAACAGTGCTACTGATACTTTCTGCTCCACTCTTACATCTTGTTTAGACATCTGCCATATGTCTATTTTAGAGACATTTTGTTACACCTTTACTTAGTGATTATTTTGCCTTATGTCTGTTCTAGAGACATGTTACAGCTTTTTGATAAAGCTCTAATTGGTTTTCTTTTGGAAATGTTTCAAATTCACACTGAATGCATTTATGACTGTAAAGCATGTCTGTGTTTGTCAAAATCGTGATTAAAATCGAAATCACAAAATTGATCAAAGAAATCGCGATATGTTTTTTTGTACATATCGCACAGCCCTACTATGTAGTTCACAGTGTGTAAAGTTCCAGTGTGCCAGGAGCCAATCACTGCTCAGCGCTGTGTTTAGCTTTCATTTACTCCAGTGTATGAAGTGAATGGGCTTCAGCTTGGAGAATTATGTGCTTGAATTAGCTGGAATAGAAGCTTTGCTCTGTCTGAAACACATAATGAGACATTTTCTCCAGACCTCTTGTGCTTTTTTGATGAGAACATAAAAGTGCAATTGTCTGACATTCTATTCCAGTATCACAAAAGTCATAATTACTTTAATGTTTAGGAGTTGTGATTTGTCCCTTATAAGAACATGCAAGGAAAGTCTTTCACAAAAAAGGAGAATGTAGGCCTCAGTATGAAGCAGCAGAATACTGTAAATCTGAACCTGAAAATGTCTTACACTGAAGTCCATTATCACATCTCACCAGAAATAGAGGAGAAGGAAGTGCAGTGCAGGATTAATGTTAATGAAAGGTCTGAATGACCCAGTTCTGCTACCTGATTCTTATCCATAATACATCACCTTTCAGGGTCTCTTAAATGCTGTAAAGGTGCTGTGTAGTACACGCTCATATTTTCTTGTACATCAGGAATAAACTTCTCAAATTAGAACTTTTCCAGAGTCCTGTAGGGAGCAAACTTACCATCTAATGACCTCATTAGAGAGGAAAGCAGAGTAATACTTGTTTTTTTGTACTTGTTTACATGTATTTTTTCCTATTGCAACTACTGTTTTGAGAGGCATTGTTTCATAGTCCACCCATGCAAGTCGTCTTGATATTGTCAAGGCTCATATAGTGAACTATTTCTTCCTGAATAAATTACAGTGCTAGTTGGTAGTATAGTGCATCAGGAATATTTCAAGCACACAGCTGAGAACATTAAAGAGTTTTACAATGTATAATTTCTGTACGTTGTAGAGGTTTGGTAGGTAGGTATGAACATTACTGATTCTAAAATTGGAGTGCATTAGCAGATAGATGATTACACTGTACTGTACAAAGAGTGTATTATTCATCTAGGATGCTTTAAATTGATCTAAAATACTGTAAATGACATATATAATGTTACAAACGGCTTTTTCTATTTTTAGGGGCAGGTTAGGGTTAGGATTAAAAATGCTGTATTTATTCAAACTCTCATTCCAGCAAAAAAAAAATTTATAATAATAATAATAAAATACAGCTTGCCAGCTTATGCATTCAAACCGTTTATAAACATATTCAGCTGGTTTCATCTCAGCGATTCCCATAGTTCAGCGCTTCCAAAACGTGTTTGTGTTATGTGGCCATTTCTAAAACAAACATTTGACTTGAAAGTGTACAGCGACCTGCTAACACAAATGTACTAAATACTTCAGTTACTGAAAAAGACACAGTACTGCTGTTTCCACCCTTTGTTAGGCAGAACAATCATTTTCAACTATGATAATAATAATAATAAAGGGGTCTTGAGTACTACATGAGCACATTAGAATGATTTCTTAGGGATTATATAACAGGTTTCCTTGCAGATTCCCTTGACTGGACTAATGGCTGGAACCATCACAGCTATATAATTTAGTTTAAAATATCACGAAAATAGTAAACAGTTGTTTTAAACAGTAATAATACTTTGTAAAATCACAGTTTTGTTTTATTTTGATTTATTCAACATCTGTCTGTCTAAACAACAATATAAACAGTATACTATATATTACAATAAATGCACAAAAATTGGAAAGAATAAACACAAACACTATGACAGTTTACACAATATGCCAAACTATTGTACATGCATTTTGTGAACACCAGTAAAAGCCAGAGACAGTTAAAAGGAATTAGACACACTTAAAGGCACAATATGTAATTTTCGCCACTAGAGGGCGCGTATTCAAAATAAACAAAGAGGTAAGGCGTAGTTTGATGACGCCGTGACTGAGCATGGAATCATGGGAGTTGTCGTCTTCATCCCCACAGCCGATGCAATCCAACGGGACTCAGGCAGAAATCATGTTCATGGATGAGCTATTGATTTATTAACGTAGTAGAATGAAGCAGGGTGAGGCTGAAAGCCATCGAAGCGAAACACAAAACCGGAAATCAAGGGGTTATGACGTCATTGGCAGGCGACACAATGACACTATGGACACGGTCCGTGTCACTAGTTAAAATTGCTTATTTCTCTGGATTTAAACATTCTTCGAAACATTTGGGATGATGTAAGTAAGTACACAAGTCAGCAAAATATATAACACTGCTCTAATGGTTTTTGGATATTTTAATAAAAAAATCTTACATATTGTGCCTTTAAGTTGCACATGATAAGCCCAATAATAGCTATGGATTGGGATGAGGGGGTCCTAAAGATCCATATCATCTCTGCACATGGTGGATGAACTGTACAGTCTTATAGCAGTAGGCCTGAATTACTTTCTATAACACTCCCAGTTGCATTGAGGCTAAATCAGCCCACATGCTTCTCATTCCCTCGAGCTGAAACATTTTCACAGAAAACAGGTTTTTGAAGTTCTGATTTGCACCTCTTAAATGCTTCTAAACATGTGACACTTGACTGCGTTTGGTCCCACTGAACATTCCTTCTGTTCCAGGTGGGAGAGTTCCGCGCTCACGCTGCAGAATGGACAGCTAATGTGTCCGCGGAATTTAAAGAGACACGCCGCCGCCTGAGCGTGGACATTTACGACAAGTTTCAGCGGGCAGCGTACATCAAGCGCAAGCTGTCATCAGAGCTAGGCCAAAATCCAGGTCAGGACATGATGCCGTGCAAGAGGACCCTGTCTGTAAACTTCACAGATGAACTTGAGAAAGAAGGTCTCCCAACCTTGACCAAAAATGGCAGCCTGTACCTGAACGGTCTTACTCCGGACTGTCTCGATCACGGCGAGATATCCATCATTGAACATCTCAAATAAAGCTCAAGCTTCTCCTGCAGATGCTATAACCGAACAGGAAGATACATTTGTGTCTACAACTATGTTTGTTGACAAAGCTTTATCAGAAGCGTTCATATCTTTCCTGGATGTGTACTGATGTACTAGAATCAGTGAGAGGGTGACTTTATGCCTTGTGCCAGTCAAATTAATCTGTCTATACATTTTGTAGGAATTAAGATGTTTGATAAAGTCTGTATTCTTGAGCAAAACAAGACAGCTGCTTTTATTATCCAGTGAATCATATTTGTGCCTTAAAATCACCAGGAATAGACTTCCTAGAATCCAAACACTGGCAAACTTAATTGGTTTTTGGATGCGTATCCCAAACCCAGCATGTGTGAGCGTCGGTTCAAAAACTATTACAGGGTATCAGGCAAGAATGGCTGAGCGTTTATGATATTGACAGAGCTGTGACTGGTGCTTCACCAGTTTAGTTTATATCTTGTATTAGCACATGGATTTTTTTGTTTTTAAATCCACATACACGTTCTGTTCAAATGCAGCTGTGACCGAAAAGAAACAGTGTTGGAGTGGAAGCATCTCAGCTTGTTTCATTGCATAATTTTAGATGTGATGTGCACCGATAGCATGATTCTGTAAGCAAATGAAAGTTTTTTGATAGAATTGGTCATAATTGGAAATATGGTCAATACACAATCATTAATCTTTCATTGACTGCTGAATAAATAAAGTTGTGTGTTAATGCAATTTATAAACATATTTCTAGTATAAATCTTGTAACATTGTATGGCAGTTATATTTGCCTTAACCTGCACATGGTTTAAAGCGATAGCTCAACCAAAAATTACTTTCTGGCATCATTAACTCAACATTATGTTGTTCCAAACCAGTGTTATAATAGTTAACTAAAACTGAAACTAAAACTAAAACCATTAAAAACATTTTCAATTCTTGAAATAAAATAAATGTTAACTGAAATAAAATAAAATAATATATATATATATATATATATAGTTAACTTATTTTAACTATTTGACAGGCAGCATGTCACTTTAATTTAGTTTAATAGCATGTACTAAAATAACTCAAACTAAAACTGAAATAAAAATGAATTAAAATAAAACATTTTTGATCAGGGAACACATTCACTATTAACTAAGAGTTTTCCCTCATTAAACTCCTAATTTGCTGCTTATTGATAGTAAGTAAGGTAGTTGTTTGTAGTGGTTATGTTTAGGTAATGTGTAGAGTTAAGGGACCTAGAATATGGTCATGTAGAATAAGGCTTTAATATGTGCTTTATAAGTACTAATAAACAGCCAATATGCTAGTAATATGTATGCTAATAAGCAACTTGCTATAGTTAGAATAGTGTTCCCTAATATAACATGTTACCAAAACTACTGAAAATGACAAAAACACAAAAAAATTAGCAATCGTTAAAATTAAAATGGAAAATATAAAAATAAAAACTATAATAGTATCTCAATGATTCTAACATAACTAACGTTACATGACTTTCTTCAGTGTAACACAACAAATCATAATTCTGATCTGGATTTTTTTCAGTGAATTGTTTTAAGATTTAGTCACGAAAGTCTTATGGTTTAGAATGGCATTAGTGTGAATAAATGATGACAGAATTTGACTTTTAGATGAACGTTTCCTTTAAATTCACATACTTTAAAGCCAAATGTCACTTGATGACTGCGGAAGCTGATGAACAGAAGAATGGCCAAAGATAAGTGTGTTTTATCACCGCTTGAGATAAAGCTATGACTTTTCAGACTGTTCAGTTACAATTTATTTTGTCATAAGCAACTATTTTGTCAAATGTTTTAATAATAGCATATATTTGCCATTAAGTGATGCTTTGAGGACTAAATGTACAGGAGGAATGACCATGAATGTTCTGTCTAAAGCATGTAGGTTTTGTATCAATGCTAAGTGGATAATATACAATAATAATAGAGCCCAGACAAATAGCCTGCATATGCCAACCCTCAGTAGACTGACAGAGAAAAACTAAATCATCAGGTGCATAAAACCTTTTAGCTTTCTTTTTTTTTTAAATTGAAAAAGCTTTATTTTTGACACGTAAACTGAAACATTGCCTGTAGCATCTCCTCGTAGTGTATTATTAGGTTTACAATGATAAGTATGAATGGAAAGATTTTCAACACCAGCTAAACATCCAGTTCATTACACTTTTTCAATGTTGAAATGCGCTTTATTCAAACAAGATATATGCATTTCATTGTGATGATATTTTCTGGTTTAAGAATACTGAGAAACTGGAAAATCAAAAATATTTTTCACAATTTTCTTGCCTAGATTTTAACGCATTTGATTTGTCAGCTGATTGTCAGAGGAGCAGTGCCATACTAACTGTAATAACAGTATGTTCATCTTGCCTTTGCTGTCTTCACCACTTAAGATAAGATTTCTTGAAAACTGCTAAAAGTCTTGCTTGTTACGCTTGGATTGTTGTTGTTATGCTAATATCTTTGTATTTTTCAGCAGCATTTTTATGAGCATTTCCTGAGCATTGTGGTGTTTCTACAGTTTTACATCTTGGTGCTTTGCCTTTAAATAAGCAGAATAAACAAACCATATTCTTATTCTTCAGGTGATTGAGGGTGTTTTTCAAAATCAGTGTCTAGTAAAATTGGCACTTTTAGAAAATTATTTTGTTCCTGAATTGAAGACCTTTAGATCAGGTATTTGTGGGAAACTGGACTGGATCGGGTCCTTGTGGGAAAGAGCAATGCTAGCGTAAACAAGTGGCACACATACTCACTCACAGATCCTGATCTCGGTCGCTGATACAGTCGGAAGCTGATGGTAAATCTTGCCGTCATCAAGAACCAATCAGGACTCTGCACTTCAAGCATGAGCAGATATTATGTAAGCATGTCTGAGCGTCCAAAGAATACAAGAGCCACAGTGTGAAAGAACATTTCCACTCATTAAATCCTCCTGCTATGCCACTAGTTTGATCAGAGGACATCCTGAAAAAAAAAACACCAGACACAACCTGTGTACCTTGTCTGTAAACACACAACCTGTGTGAACTTGAACAACTCCAACTTTCAACACATCTGAGATTTACTGATCTTAATTATCTATCTATCTATCCATCCATCCGTCCGTCCGTCCGTCCGTCTGTTTTTGTTCTCATTTATAATTTAGATGCATGCAAAAAACTAAATGTCATAATATTTAATAAACACTGACTGTTCCCATAAAGTATGATATTTTAACATGCACATTTACAAAAAGCTGGTAAAATTAGAACTGTCTCAAAAGACAATTTGCTCCCAATATTCTTATATTATTTTAGAACATATAAAATAGTCTTTATTTCATGTAAATACAGAAATTGATGCATGTTTTAACAAAACAAACAAGGATTTACATTCCTTTTTGGCACTGGAAGGAAAGGGAAGCATGTAGATGAATTGCTGGCTTTCTACACAACGTTGTTCTCTCTACCTTTCTACCTTTTGTTAACCGGTCTGTTCTGCTGCTATTGTACTGTTCTATTTTTAACTGTTACCATGGTGCATTTGCTGACAAAAAAATGTAGCAGTCTTGGGTCATGAGGGCGGGAAGAACTTTTATTTGTATTTACAAGACTTGATTAAGCTGTAGGCAGCCCCACAAAACAACAAATCAAGATCCAATTAACAACATTTTTTTAACCCATCACAGAAATTATATTACATTCCAGTTGAGCATTGATTTCCCTGGCCAAACCTCTGAGCCTGCACTCTGCACACTGCAAAAAGCCTCGAGTTTGAAGTGTGGATATTTCCATGCAGCAGCAGTGGGACACCTCCGAGGGGTTCTCTTGTGCCCAGGTCTTTGATGTTACTGCAGAACAATCAATGCGGAACTACATTTCTGTCATGACAACTCTCAGAGGGATTGGCATGGTAATGTACATAACAATGTTAATGTATTTGGTCTTAGAATAGATCTGCTACGCTGCTGCTGCTGCAAGTACCGAGACTTGCTACTGCCAAATACATCCACAACATGCTGCTGTAAGCATGTAAGAAATACTGCTGCTGCACATATAACACATATGAATAACCCCCCACAAAGCAGGAGACACGTTACACAAACAATACAAAGCAGTGGAAAAGCGCCATTAGTGTAATGTTAATTAACAAAATTGATTTACGTTGAGATTACGCCGATGCATATGGAGAACCCCAGTTAAAATGCATACACAAGAATGCTTATTTCATTTAACCTGTTTTCATATTCGTTACTATTAACATGTCCTCAGAGCGATTACAAGCTCTAAACTGCCTTTTGCTCCAGCTGTATAAACACAGATGCTAAATGCTGCTGCATACAATGCAAACTGCTAACATGACACTTAGTTTAACTTGTTTACGGTTGCTCATTTTGTATTCAATTAGGCAGACCACGCAAATATGCACAGCGATATGGATTAAAAGAGCATTCACTTATCTTAGATGTTGATTTAGGCTGCTCTGAAGTGCGCTGCAAACTGCTACAGCAAACAAAAACCATGTATTTGAATATTGAGCAGTAAGCTCATTGGCTAGGATACAGGAGAGAACCAATCAGCTGCTATGTGACTGATGTCACCAGGTCAGATTGAGCTAGACCTATCGGACTGCGCCATCTAGAGTTTTTTTCGCCAAGTATTGCTTTTTGATACTCCCCTGATATTTTCAATATCAGACTTCATAGCTTTCAACTTGATAAATGCTATTAATAGTCACCTTTTTTCCCATTAACTACTGATTTCATATCATCTGCCCTTTAAACTTTGACATCAGCAACATTATAAGTTAATAAAATTCAGAAACCCTTTACACACACAGTTTTGATTGATAAAACACACAAAAAAAATCTAATATTAATTTTTCCCTCTTCTATTCATGAGCGGTTCTCTTAATGAGAGCCCTGAGAATGCTGAGTTACAGCAGCTCCCACTAGAACCCCGTTGATCGTTCGGTTCTCAAGGGAGCTGAGCGGCCCATTGAGGCAGACAGCCTGTACAGTGGCTTCCCATGATGCAGCAGACCTCCACTGTCAGTTAATCCAGAGTCTGAGTGACAGCCAGGCAACACACTTCCTCACATACTGTAAACACACAGCTCCCTTTCCCAAAAGGTGATGTCTGGTGAGAAAGCAAAACATTCACACACTGCTTTCATGCAAACAGTGGACAGCCACTGTGATAATAGATCTGCTACCGAAACATAAAATACAAAACTACTTATTTTTTCCTTTTATATAACAATCTTTTTCTTCTTCTTTGTCTTGTTATTGTTGTTGTTGATAACTGGTCTGTTATTATTTATTTTTTTTATATTTAGTTTATCTTAATTATTACTTAAAAAATAAATAAATATTATTATTTCATTCTATTTAATACATTACTTTTTTATTTTATATATATTTGCTGATTTCAAAATGTAATATATTTTTAACAAAATAATATAAAAAATATATTTTTATTTTTCCTTTTAAATAACATACTATTATTGCTGTAGTAGTTGTTTTGTTTTGATTATAAATATTAATATTTTGTTAGTATTATTATTGTTGTTTTGTTTATTTAAATGATTATTTAAAAATATTTAATATAATTATTTAATACAATTTTATTTATATATAATTTTTTATTTATCTTTTGCTGAATTAAAAAACATTGGAAATTCTGGAAGCTAAAAAGTAGAGTTTGAATAAGCATAATTACCAGTTTAGTGTTGGTTTGGTGCTGATCAAGGAGCATAGCCATCATGTTTACCAGAAAAATCTTAGCTGGTTAAGCTAGTTGACAAGGTATTAATCTTTCAGGTGAGGCTGGTTGACTGAGAAAATCTAAGCTAATCATCTCTAATCATCTACACATTCATCAACGTGACTAGAATAACAGCCGCCTTCCTGTCTATAGGAACTTCCTGTTTATTAATTATACTGTTATGAAACATTTTTTAATGTGCAATCATTGTGCTTTCAGTTTGTGTCTATTCAGCAGGATGACTACATAAAAAAAAGATCCTGAATGTAACCCAGCTGACCTCAAATAACACTGTGAAATGACTGGGAGAAGAAATGTCTGTCCCAGTCCAGCAGCACTTTCTGACAGGGTTCTGTTTGTGCTGCTCAACCCACTGATGCTGCAGAGACAGTGGGATCGGAGACAGAAAAGAAAAGAGCAGCTCATGCATAGTGTACTGAAGGGCTGTTCACACCAGTCAGAACAGTGAGAATATGCTCATCATCTTTATCATGCTCTACTTATCATTGGCACTAATTTCCATTTTTGCTGACAGAAACCAGAAGGGCATTAGTGCTCCTCTCTGGCTCCACACAGGCTTTTTAAAACATATCTGCATATCTTATTGTGGTCATTCATTTAGTATCACATTGCATTGCATAATATTTTCATTTATATGATCTGTATGAATTATGATTGGCTGGAAGGTGTGCATTAAAATTGTGTAATGCACAGGTCACAGTTGGTTTAGTCATGGTTTTATATTAATGTGCTGCATTCATTGAAGCGTGCACACACACATACACACACACACCCACACACACACTCACACACACACACACACACACAATACTATATATATATATATATCACATTTGTCACATTTTCACAACAACATTGTTAAATTAAATTAATACTTTGGTATTTTTATTTGGAGGGATTTTAATAGTGTAAAGTAGACTCATGTTTTCCCTGTCTGTAGTACTGGTTTCCTGCATTGATCATTCACATGGCATTTATAGCTCAGGTGAGTGGCTCAAAATAATCTGGCAGCAGCACTGAGTCCCTGTGAATAAAGATGATTCCCATCACACACTTCTCTTGGGTCCTGCGCCATCCATGCAAGTGTCATTGAGATGAGAATGAGAATGCTAACAGATAGTTTTAGGTACAGACCTCCTTGTTTGACTTTCAGTTAATTAATCATTCCTTGCAACTGTTTAATTTGTCATTGTTTGTCACACTAATTCAGTTTTATTCTTAGGCCAATCACATCTCAGGTGTGCTACTGACTTTTTTCACTGATTATTTTATTTTATTTTCAGGAAATATCTTGATTTATACCCATTTTGCCCACTACAAGTGGATTGAATTGAAGTAAATATTAAATTACAATTAACTCTACAGTGCAATTTTGCTGAATTAGGCTTTACGAAAACAAGTATTTTATTTTTCATCTCAACGGTGAGATTTTCCTTTAAATGTGCAAACATTTTCAAAATTAATGTTCATATAATGTGCGATCATTGATAACACGAGGTGTGCTATGCAGGTGTGTAGCATATATACATTCCTGGAAATACTCGATCTGCTTTGACCTTTGACCCTATTATTTACTAACAACAGCTATAATATTCATTCAGCTCATTCACAAACTGGTCCAGCTGGGGCTCAACACTTCGCTGTGCAACTGGCTATTGAACTTCCTGACTGGGAGACCTCAGGCAGTACGGGTCGGCAGTAACACACCCAGCACCATCACACTGAACACTGGGGCCCCCCAAGGATGTGTGGGACCTGCACCAGTCACTTTGTGCAGCATTGGTCTGCTCACTACGTCATTCAGCATTGAACTGACCTCATTCAACTACCTCTTCTGACAGTTTAAATAAAGAACTCTCTGAGCTTTTTGTCACTTTAATCAGTCTGAATAAGCTCTTTTGCACTACAATAATTATATCTGCACTGTTTGTTTACTTCATCTGCCATGTGCCTTGTGCTGCTTTATTTATTTTTTTACATGACCTTATTTGTATATTTGTATAGTTGTATTTTATATTTAATCTGTATCTATCTGTATTTATGTTCTACTGTTAGTGTTATCTGTATGCACCAAGGGTCTGAGAATAACGCAATTTCAATTCTCTGTATGTATGTGCTGTACATGTGGAAGAATTGACAATAAAGCAGACTTGACTTGACTTGAAATATCAGTTTACTCGGGTGTGGTTAAACAAACTGAATTTAACCATAAGGAAAAGCTTGGTTCCTATAGCACTGGATTAGAAGGATTAGCATAAAATTGTTCATAATGTTTGTGAAAACACAATAGCATTTTGGCTGAACTCTCTATCTGGCAGTGAGGCAGAACAGATGATACCGAAAGCAATACATGAAACAGGCACAGCTGTTAGGAAATCGAACATCAACCACACACAACACACAACACACACTTGTGAGATTTACAAATGGCTAAGAAAAAAGCTGTTCAATTTATTATCATGAACGTAAATAACTATTTTATCAAACCTGTGAAAACAACCTCATCAAGATGTTTGCATTATCATTAGATTCTTAGCCATTTATAAATATTTGCTACCATGAAAATGCTAACGAAACATTTGTGTACTGTTGGGTGCAGTACAAACGATGGCTTTACCTCCATGTGTTTCTGACAGCACACACCTCCCAATGACCTCTGTCCTGTACTGAGATCAATCATCAGCTGGACACAGATGATATACAAGTAGAAATATTCAATCAACATTAGATTTACCTACAGTATGACTGACTGCTGGCAAGGCAGGTATTGATTTTCTACCATAAACTAAGCATTAGTGCACTTTGAGTTGATCAACAACAAGTGAATCAATTATATCACCAACTCTGAGTAGGCGCATCTCAGTGTTGATGCGATGACAGACAGACAGACAGACACAGACAGACAGACAGACAGACAGACAGATAGATAGACAGATAGATAGATAGATAGATGGGTCCACATAGATGGGTCCACCTGAGGAGTACAAAATTTGTTATTTGGGCTTTATTATTTTGCTATTGTGTCTTTATAACTCACTGTGTGAAAATCTTTCAACAAAGTGATAACTGGCTTTCATTGGAATACTTTGTCTTTAAAAGGGAAGCAACGCCATCATGTGGCAGACCCGTGTAAAACAAAGCCTCATTTACAGTAAACCTATACATTTTAATCTTTTTACAGTAATTTATTATTAATTAATTCTTAATTAACTTAATTATTAAATCAACTTATTATTATTATTATTATTATTATGCATTGGTGAATGGGTTTCACAAAGACGGTATTATTCCATTATAGTTGCGTGCCACCTTGTGGCCAAATTGTGCAAAACCATTGATTTTTACAGTAATATAAAGCAGGAATGGGTATGTCAGCAGCAAGACTGTATGAAACGTTTGTGCATTACACACTTCTAAATGCAAAAACAATAAAGACCTTTTCTGGTGACGTCCTGTGTTCTCTTGTTCTCCAAATTCTAGTATAAGAAACAGCTCTTAATTACACTGGTCACTTACTAACAGGATTTCCTCAGTAACGGATAAGATATTGTCCATAAGAGGCGGTGCATGCGGAGGAATTGCATGTTGTAAATGCAGTGTCAGCGACTCTACGTGGCGATAATGGAAGCCGGTGGAAAGCGGAATGTGGAGAGCACGAGGAGGAGCTGATTTTATTCGGCAAACGACACGTCCACGGAATCCAAGTGTAGCCTGTCACTGATGCAAACATACGGGGCTGTGCTGCTCTCATCAGCCGGGGTGGGTCTCATCATGGAGCGACCGTTAACCGCCGCTGCGAGAGGTACAGGCACGTTTCACTTCTAGCTTTTCTATTACATCCTTACTGTTTGCCTTGGTGGTCATTAAATCATACTAGCATCCATTAGTACAGTGCACATAAAAAAAGAAAAGAAGAACAGGCTTCATTGGTCAACTGTCAAGACTCAGAAGGAAATAATAATTTTGGTGTTTGATTCAAACATACATTTCGTTGCTGTATCATTCTTGAGTGATCGATTTGCCTCTCTAATGATTCATGAATCGTTCGACTGTGGCGACAGGTGTGCCAAAGCGATCCAGTGGAGCAGTTAATATGATCACAACCCGGATTCTGTTCTTGCTCATCCTCCCTTCACTGAGTCTGTGTGCTCCACAAATTCAGCGAACGCGCAGGTAGGCCGCATTAACGCTATACTCTATTGTACTGTACTCTACTGCACTATGACTGTAAATATATTATAGTATTTGTGCCCCCTGTGGGCTTTTACGGATAAATGTAAACATATTTAGAGAGGATGTACTAGATGGTGAGATATCATCCAATATAGCCTATTGTGAGGTACAGTAAATGGTACCATTTGCTCATTTAGATGTAAAAAAAAAAAAAAAAAAAGCATGTTTTAGATGTTGAGAGAAACATTCAAATGTAACGTTGACATTTTCAGAATGATAGAATGGAACGTTCCTCAAACGCTGCAGAAGAAGCGTTCTTAAAGCATTCTAAGCAGACGAGCAGCACCTGGCCAGACAGTTCTCCTCCGCGGCGCACCGGAGGCTGTACATGGGCACTCTCTGGACATACGTGGACACCTGGATCATGTAGGGATCCACCACCAGATCCGGGAGACCTGTGGGCATTCATGAGAGAGTGCATCTGATATAAATTTTTACTTAAATATTATTTAACATTTATTTAATTATTACTACTACTTTTACTACTATCTCTTGGAAAATGTGAAATGCTAAATCAATAAAGTGAAATGCTATATCAAATATTCTATGTGTGTTGTGACAATTTAGTTGAGTAATTTAAGTAATAATTGAATAATGACAGACAAATCAAATAGAATGCAATAGACTGAATCCACATCGAACTTTTTTTTGTTTGTTTTGTTTATTCACAATTGGCATACAGGCTAGATTTATTAAATACTTGACTTATATTAAAAATATTTAAGTGAATTATTGTGGATTATATTATATTAATTCAACTAACTAAATGAATTAATGTATATTAAATTTAGATTATGCATATTAGATTTAGAATAGGCTATATTCAATCTGAACAATTGTATATTTGTACATATCTCAGAATTGTACATCTGTAATTAACATATATATATATGTTAATTATTTATTTATTTATATATGTGTGTGTGTTCTGATTCTGATTTACCATAATGGATGAAGTATTTTGATTAGGATAGATAGATATAATAGTAAAATATGAAAAAATCAGTATCTTGGCATTGATATGGCCTGAAACATTTACACATTGTTCACAGATTTTTTTCTAAATGTGAAATAAATGGCCCATTTTTCTTCTGATTGTTGTTTTCCAGTGATGACATTGTTGTACCAGACCTTGCAAATCCTTTTGGGTCCAGCGAAGACAACCGCAGGTTAATTTTTTTGACTACATCTCCCTGAGTCTTGCTTTACTATCTTCAAACCCGCCTGATCAAATAAGGTAGTACACTTGCCCCAAGGTTCAAAGTTCGATGTCACATCAGAGATAATGCTGAGATTTGCACAGCTGACACACTGTCATGCTTAAGAAGCCATAGCTGGAAAAGGTGCCAAAACAAAATGTTGTTGTGCCTTCCAACTTATTTAAAATGACTTAACAAGTCCTAACGAAAGACATTATACAGTTGTGCATGTTTAACACAATGGTGCCAGAATTGATCTTTAAAGTGGAAATGTTAAAATGTTTCAAGTTAGGAAATTACTGTATGAATTCAGATCCTTGCTATTTTCCTCTATAAAAAGTGTAATGATATTAAGCGAAACTAAAGTGGCCTATTATCTTTGATTCTGTATGACAGGCTCTTGCAAAGCTACATCAAGAGCAGCCTGAAGGAAGGACAGACCAGTCCAGAGCTCAACACAAGGGAGCAAGGTTAACATAGTTCATTATTAACATGGCCTCTCAGTAAACTGCTTTTATTTCCACTACTTCTGTGTGCTTTTCCATTTTGCATACAATTTCATTTTCAATCATTTCAGTGCTATTTTGAAAATGTTCATAGATTTCTTTTCTTAAATACACAGCAGATTATCTAAGTACATCAGTACAGAGTCTTCTCAGGTTTTTATAAGCTTCTTATTGTATGATTTGTTCTCTTCTTGTCACAGAGATATTCTTCCTTTTCTCCCTGTATGACTATGACAGAAGTGGGCAGATGGATGGCCTTGAACTGATGCAACTACTGACAGATTTCCTGACTTATCATGAAATGATGCCAAAGTCAGCAGATTATGTGAGTGCTGCTTAGTTTTGTCATAACATTCAAAGTAAAAAGCCCTTGAATTGTCTTATGACTTGAACTCATTTACATTTTACAGTCAAATTTACAGAAATTTATTCAGACCCCTTCAACATTTCACACATTATCTCAGTTTATTTGATATAGTATTACCAATAATATATAATGGTATTATTACCATTTATTAAAATGGTAATAAAATATGACAAGAACTCAAGAGTTAAACTGTGTCAGAACAAATTCGTCTTGATAATGTCAGATAACACTTAAGCAAAACATGGTCTGGTCAAAGTGTCTGAATAATTTTTGGTCCCAAATTATTATCAATTTTACTGGTAGTCCACTGTATGAAGAATTTTTGGGTATAATACGTATGTCACAGTTTACTTTATTTTGCTATCCTCACTTTCATAAATAAACTATAGTGTCCTGCACCCACTTGTAAAAAAAAAAATATCAAAAATGATATCTGGTGTCTGAATAATTTTTGGTTTGACTGTAGGTTGTATCTTTGGTGGATTATCTGCTACAAACTCATGATCTGAACCAGGATGGACTGCTGGTTCCTTCAGAGCTGTTATCATCCACCATAAACCATCGGCAAGAAAACAACATTGCTCCCCCTGATCCACCTGCTGAGGAGGCCTTAAATCAGGGACAAACACATACAGATTCAAAGGATGGAGTTTCTGAATCTCACCAACAAGATGCAGAGGTCAACCAAGTGTCTGAACATGAAAATGAGACTTCAGACTCAGCTAAAGAAGACAACGTGGAGGTTGAGAATCACAAGCAGATACCTGAAAAGCTTGAAGAACAGCAGGACCGACTGCAGCCTCCAGAAGAGCAGGAGTTGCAAGATGATCATCAGGAACAGAAGAACATACCAGTACATCAAGGGCAACCCGAGATATAATGCCAATTTAAGCATGAAGTGCAACTTTAGAGACTTGTACAAATCAGCCACACTTTTGAAACCCACTTACCTGCTGCATATACTGCACTGTATGACTGACGCATAATTTAAATCTGGACATACTAAAAGTTATGAAAGTACAAGAGCATGTGTGTATGTTAGCATTGTGGTACGCATCAAGTTATTGTGAATCCTCTGAACTGAGTAATGGAACCCAAACACATAATCATCTGAATATGTAACGCTCTGTTCAAACTATGCAAACCCAGCTTGGATTTACTGAGTGTTTATTGCAGGAATCTAGTCACAGCCAACTTAGCAACCATTGTTAGAGTTTTGTACCCAACTCGGTAACACTTTATAATAACTTTCATTAATAAATCATTAACAAACATTATATAATGTTTAACTAATCATTACTTAATATATATTCACATATCTAGAAATATGAGAAAATGTGCTTGTTATTGTTAACTAATGAACTTATTAAACATTACCAAATGATTAACAGATCATTATTTAATGTAAATTGAAATGCTTACAAATGTCATTAAACTTTCAATTCATATGATCATGAATATAATGCCATTTCAGCACGCTGTTAGTTCGGCCCGTCCGCACCTGCTGCTTGCATTGGGCTGGATTTACAGCCGTAGGTTCACATTAGAGTGAATGTAAAGACTGATGTTGGCAAACGCTCACACACTCGCTCCTCTAGTCTCACACACTTCGCTCATTATAACACTGGGAATCCAGTTTACTTTACTTTTAGTCATTTAGCAGACGCTTTTATCCAAAGCGACTTACAAATAAGAAAAAGTAATTAAAACTAAAAGCTAAAACTCTATAAATACTATATATATACACATTTAAGAAAGTAAAATAAATTAAATAAAAATGACAAATGCATACAACAACATTTCAAAACTAAAACATTTAAATGAAAACAAAAAAATAAAGCTAAAAACAATTCAAAATATTAAAAGAACAAAAGGTATGAGTATAATAATGATTCTAACATAACACTAAGCCAAACACCAAAAAACAACTACATATGTGTATGTACAGCCACACACATATACATATACATGTACATATATATAAATACATTAAATATATATATATTATTTTATTTCCATTTTGTATGTTGAAGTACTGAAATAACTCAAATTAAATAAAAGTAAAACTTAATAAAAAGCCTATATAGACATAATAAAAAAAACTAATAGAATGACAACATGACTACAACTGTAACTTAAACTAAAATAGATAACTAATACAAATCAAAGTACATTAGTTCATCAGTAATCCTAAAAAAATAACACTCAGCCAAAAACATGCTAAAATAACAACAACTTACTGACACATAGTAAGAAATAGTTTATAAAAACCTGAAACAGAAGTGGAAAGAGGAGAGATAAAAAGCGATACTTATGTCCTTTGCCGGTGTCCCTGCCCGGTGGAGTCGCACGGTAGAGTCGATGGTCTTTACACTCTTCGGTCTTCACACGACCGCTTCCGCGGTAAACTAAGCTTCTTTTTAATTAGTTTAACAAAACTCAAATTGAATTCAGCTGGACACACTTTCCTGTTTATCCCAACAAATGGCCAAGCAAAGCGCACGACACTGACAAGGTACGCGATACAGTACGACACCAAACACCATTTCAGCACGTCTCCACAGTAAACAAAACAAGCGTTTCCTAGCAACGCTAGGAAATTAGCTAATGCTCAGTTTTACATTTACAAATGTGAAAATACAGCTTATAGGCACTTCACAAACTATTCATGTTAATATATTCATCATCTCATAATCACAGTCTGTAAAGGTCATATATTTGGTCTTTGTTGTGTTTTCTATTTGCACATCTTAAATCATTAATAATTTGTTGAAGTTTTTTGCAGTACCCAATCTAAAGTGGAAACTATTCATCAATTGCAAATGTTTATAAACATTTACTAATCATTAGTACCTTTATGAGCAGTCATTTTGATGGCAAAATGTGTCCCAAATGACAAGAATTCACCCGATTTTGACATCTTTACAAATCATTAATCATTTGTTCATGTTTTTGCATTACCCAGTCTAAAGTGGAGACTATTCATCATTTCTAAATGTTTATAAACTACTAAAAATATTTTTAGTATCTTTGTTGGCACTGGACTTTTAGCTACTTTAACAATGTTTGTGTAAAGGGTGGTTAGTTAAGTTCAGCTAAATGCTTGGTAAAGACATATCACACATTGTAATTTGGGTGCAAAACAGGTTATCATTAATATTTGTTAATGTACCTTTGAATGCTTACAAATGTCATTAAACTTCAGTTCACATATTAGCTTTACTTTTACTTTACTTTTAGTCATTTAGCAGAAAAGCGACTTACAAATAAGAAAAAGTAATTAAAAGTAAAAGCTAAAACTCTATAAATACTATATATATACACACATTTAAGAAAATAAAAGAAAAAAACAGGTTATCATTACCTCAACACTTATATTAGTATGCTATTGTTGTGTACCATTAAACAGAATATTCCTTGAGTCACACATCAACAGGAGAGGGGGAAAAAAAAAATGTTCTCAAGAAAACACTGCCATATAAACAGATTGAATTGTGTTCCCTTATAGTAAACAAATTGACCCCTGTACACTTGTTGACCCCTTACCCAACCTTAAACCTACCCATACCATCAAAACTGTCCCTAACCTTACCCGTATCACACCTCAACAGCAGCAAAGGAGTTGTGCATTAACAAAAGCTTTTAATCATTTTATAACATCGGTTAGAATCATTTGTAGATTTTCAAGATGTGCATGATCACATGAATTAGAAGTTTAATGACATTTGTAAGCATTTTAATTTACATGAAATGTTAATAATTAGGTGATGTTTAATACATTTATTAAACATTAACAAGCACATTAATTCACATTTCTAGATACGTGAAATATATATGAACTAATGATCCGTTAAGGCTTAACGGATAAGCATTACATAATGCTTTATTTATGAAAGTTATTATAGTGTTACCCTGTGCAGTATTGCTGAAGTTTCATTTTTAACTCGTTACACAGTGAAGCTGTACTGCACTTCCAAAGAGACAAAAGATCACTCGCGCTTAATTTCCAGTAGAGATTTCTCATAACCAGAGCCTCAGCTTTCTTGATTTCTATACAATGAGAAAAAAAAAAAAAAAAAAAAAAAAAAAAATTCCTTACGTCTGATATTCCTTCTTTCATTTTTTCTGTACTTGAAAGAGTAAAGATGTTAGAACCGTTAAGGCTTAACGGATAAGCATTACATAATGCTTTATTTATTAATGAAAGTTATTATAGTGTTACCCTGTGCAGTATTGCTGCAGTTTCATTTTTAACTCGTTACACAGTGAAGCTGTACTGCACTTCCAAAGAGACAAAAGATCACTCACGCTTAATTTCCAGTAGAGATTTCTCATAACCAGAGCCTCAGCTTTCTTGATTTCTATACAATGAGAAAAGAAAAAAAAAAGAATTCCTTACGTCTGATATTCCTTCTTTCATTTTCTCTGTACTTGAAAGAGTAAAGATGTTAGAAGTGATAAAAACCAGTCATGACAGTACATACTTTGGTTTTAATATTTATTACATTTTAGACAGTGCATTAAAACTTAAAATCAAGTAAAAACCATTCAACCTAAATACGCAAATTTTAAGAGTCAAACATACTGGAAAAATATGGTTGATGCATAAAAGTTGTGCTGAAATTTTATAGACCGTGATCTAAGACTGACTGCAATGACCCAGACCACAGTTAACATTCTGCAGTGCATTAAAATGTCATTCCAGTTCTAAAACGTACCTGATCGAGGATCCCTGTCTAAGAAGATTCTTATATAAAACTCACTGATTAACAATACTTAAATGTATCATGGCCATAGACGATGGCAGTCAGCTTAAAGTTGAAGACGTTCAATGTCTAAGTTTTGAACGGTACTCATTTCAGCTCTCCTCTTGCAGTTTTTGGTGGTTACATTGGGATTCCAGCCACAATTTCAGATTCAATGCCACAGTGGTCCTCACCTCGGAGAATCTTGAAATATCCTAAAGTTGCAACAAAAAAAATTGGGCAGATGAAGCAAACTTCTGTACAGTCTGTAAAAAGAATAGAGTCTGGAAATGTGTTGGTACAAAAAGACATGAACACTTCCTTGGCATTTCATTGGGTAACAAACTGCAGACAATAAGAGGAGCATTTTAGTCTTCATACAAAAGAATAACCCTCACCATTATCACCCCAGTCAGTGTTCCAAGAGTTAGCAGCAAGCCAGTAGGGGACGCTATTCTCCTCTCCCCAGCCCAGGATCTTAATGGCATGACCACCTAGTGCAGATCCACTCACGTGCTGATATACACCTACAAAAATGAGTCAAGAACCAAATTGTCAACAGCTCCATGTTGTATTGGTACTCTTGCCATGTACATGAATAGACAAACCAACCAGATTTATATAGCAGGAAGTCCTCATAGACAGTGAACGCTGCCTCTACTGGGCCGTTCTTGAAGAGCTCTTTCATAATGTCCTTCTGATTAGATGGGACACTATAGGATGTCTTTCCTGCAGTGACAAACAAGGCACAGAAATAAAGTTCAATTAACTGATCTTTCAGCAGCATCCCAAAAAAAACAACAAAAAAACACTTTAAACCAGTAGCTCTTAACCAGGGGACCTCAACAAACTTTAAAAGGGGCTACAACTTTCTTTGAGGGGAGGAAAAAAAAACCGCAGGGATTCCACAGTTTTGGGAAAACCACGTAATAAGTACAGAGCCACGCACATGACATGCAGGGGAAAAAACAAACGCACTAAATAATTTGATCCACTTCCTGTCTGCATTCTCATAAACCGAAGTAGATGCCTCACTTAAAATGAATCCATGCAATGCTGCAAGGCTTTTGAGAACATCTCTATAACTCATTCCCATCTCAAAATAAAATCCAATTAAAGTGTCTGTCCATAACACAACAGCAGCAACAGGTTTATGAGGATGTGGACCGGAAGTAGAGCTAATTATTTCATGTGCACAACTTACTTGAAATGAGGGCACAAATTATTATATCGAGCGCGCAATTTAGTAAACCAAGGGAACAAATTAGCAAATAGTGCGCACTATTTATTTTTTCCCCCCCTCTCAATGTCATGTGTGGGGCTCTGTAAATGAACAATTTTTTTTTTTTAAATTAGGGCTGGGGGCCTTTAAATATTCTTGTGGACAATGGAGAGGCTGGGAGTCAAATAGATTTAGAACCACTGACCTAAAGTGACGTCTGACTAGATGCAAATAAGTAATGAGGGTGAAACGTGCACTGAACATGAACTATTTGGGTCTGCAAATTCTTACCAAAGTGTTTGTCCTGCTTGTAAGAGGGGCTGTAGCCAGGTTCACAGGACATATCACAGTTAGGAGTGTCTCCACCCTCTCCGGTGCAAGGAGGGCGACTGCCATTCACATGATGCTCACAGGGTTCAATGGTGTATGGACGGCAGCCTAAATACAAGCAAGTTATATTAAGTTCCAGGTTTCCCAAACAATCATGATATTATCAGGGAAGTCACTAACCAACATGAGAGTTATAGAGTCCACCGGTGACCAGACCGTCTGAGTTCCAGAAACTCCAAGCAGCAGAGGGGTATCCACCGTTACATCTGAGATTAAAACAAACAGAATTAACATCTTGTGTGCCAATTAAAATGCAAAGTCTGGTAGTGTGATTCGCAGTCAGCAAGTGTATGATGCCTAGGGTTTTAAAATGGTTTCAGATTTGAAAAGACATGTAGTGTATTCCAACATTTGGTCAAGCAACTGCATTAAGCTAAACACCAGATGCATGAGGATGAAAATCAAAAAAAAAAAAAAAAGTTTGTACAGTCTTGACATTGTCAAATCGACTGAGCCATACATGGCACAATAATTGCATTTAATGCCAGCATACTTGCATAGTGTTATCCAGGACGCATTAGTGTACACAGAGTCCTCCTGTAGCTGTAATGACATTACAGCATTGTCTAACTTACCCCATGCCACAGCTGTCACAGCAGCTAAGCAGGTCCTGAGCGGAGATCTCCACACTCACTTTGGCATTGCTGTGGACGCATATTCTGTCAGATATGGCTTCAGCAGCTCCAAATGCCTGCGAAGAGAATGATGCTCAATCTCAGTAAAAACATGACATGTATAAATAACGGAAACCTAAGGTCATACTGCAACCACCGGAGAGAAGACCTCACCCAGCATGAACCGCAAGAACCCTGGTCTCTGATCTCTTTAAGAGTGGGGCAGTTGGGCCACTGCTCTCTAGCATCAAAGTTAGTGGGGAGCTTGACGTCATCAGCATACTGTACCCTGGTTAAAAGACAAGGTAAGATTTGTTATACCAGAATGCAGAACTGAAAGCAATAAGTATAAGGAAACATTAAGAACAGCATCACATGACAAAAGTAGTCATATGTATACCATTGACTGCAAAGTTACTAAGTCGCACTTCTTCTTTGATTCTTCTCTACTCACTTTTCATCTCACACAATTCTACTGAACTCACATGACAGGGAGTTTGGGTCCTTTGAGCAAAGTCCCACACAGCCTCTTCACATAGCTGTAGTCTACATCACGGAAGTTGTGTCCAGCCTATAGGCGAGAATAAGTTTAATGTGAAATTATGCAATAGGCGCTAAAAATAAAATGCCTCAATACAAAGATCTTTCCAATACTGGCTCATTTATTCTCACTAGGATGCGGTTTAGGGAATCAGTGAATAGAACGGCTTCTTACCTTCCAAGTAGTGTTTGCTTTATTGATGAAATTTACCATCTCATGGGAGAGGGGAGCGAGGCGAGGTCGAGCCCAGCTAACCGAAAGGGCTGAGACCACGCACAGGAAAGCCAGCCGCCACATTCTGAAACACAAATTCAATTAATCTCACTTACATACAGAAAGGCGGCTTTACATTTAACTAACGGCCCAAAAATCCCACTTTAACCACTCTTTGATACAAACTGCAGCTAAAACACTGCATCTACATAGCCAGTTACATGAATCACTTCAGCTAAATAAAAGTTTTAAAGTTCTAAACATCGTAGCCTTGAATCAACATTAGTCAGGTGGCACATCAAAAACACTCAAACTTCAGGTGAAACAGATCACTGACTGCCTACAGTAGTGTCATCTTCAGACTGCAGTCATGCAGAAGTGAAAGCTTAAAGACATCTTAAAATAAACATGGTCAAGATTCCTAAAGGTTACACAACCAGCCAAACAAGTCTTGATCAACTACTCTGGGTAAGAAGTCTTCATTTTAGGCACTTATTTTAAAAGGGGCCCCTCACTCAGTGGTTTAACAGTAGACATGGTTTTAAACAATTTTACGTCCGTATTACTGACTTATACCACAATCTTGACAACTGTAGTGAATTGTCACGAAGCACCAATTTATCAATATAATTTTCATATGTTGAGTTGCACTTCCTCTACAAGGTCCATAATGACATCACCAAAGATGTGCGTGAGTCAGCAATTTACAGAAACAACCTGCTAATTTTGAGAAAGCCAGCCTACTCTGACCTTTAACCCCGCTGTAATCTGGTGTGGAGCAAAAACTGCTTCAAAAAGCACTAACGCCGTCAGAAGTCAACTATATAGTGAAGAACGCAAATATAAAACTGTTCGCAGCATTTGAAAGTATCCACTTAAAGAAAAACGTAAAATAGGCTGCTTATGTTTGAAACCTAATAGTGTATTTGTAAGTAAACGAGCAGCGTATTGTCAGTTAGAGCAACTGAAGCGTTCACTTGTGTGTTCAAACATAAGCTCTGGTTTCCAATTCTCCTACTTTCGTTTTTAACTGCAGGCCTGTTTAACAATCAAACGAACAATGAATCCATTTCATAACAGATCAGGAAGTGCCTTTGAAATAAAGATAAAGTCATGCTATTCCCTGATAAAGTGTTTCGCATTGTAATTTTCGTATGATAATTTAAGATATGCTGTTTTATCGCCATGACAATTTTCTCAATATCTAATTGTAGTTGAAATTATAAATAAACAAATAATAATAATAACTTACGTCTTCGTAATTTAAAAGCAGATTTTAGGAACAAAGTCCTACCTGTCTTCTGTCTGCTGGCCGTCGTTCTCTTTGAAATGTGTGTCTCACTCCCCAAGAGTTCCACTGGCGTTGGGTTGAACGGCACGCAGAAGGCTTTATGGCGCAACGACGGATCACGTGATAAGTCATGTGCGCTTGGGAGGTCTCATGACTCTGACGTGATCAAATCTCTTTACTTGAGTAATCACAGTACTGTATGTTAATTTAGTTTCGTATGTAAATGTAATGAATCGTATGGAAGCCAAAGAAAATCATGATCAAATCATCATGACATAAAAAGTCAAAACTCTGGCATTAAGGGTCGAATTTTCTATGTCACAATTATGACTTTTATGACTTTTAGGTCATGACTTTTAGGTCATATTTTAAACGTTTATCTCACACAGTTTCAACTTTTACGTCATAATTACCGAAGTGCAATTATGTAAACTTTATTTAGATTTATATTATTTGTTATGAAAGAGTTTTTTCATTATTGTCTGAATATTTTTTCAACTTTGTTTAACATTTTATAGTCAAAATAAATAAAATAATGAAATAAAATAAAGGAAAATGAATACAGTTATTAATAAACCAAATAAAGGCAAACAGAGATCAAGAAAACAGGTAAAAAGAAAATCACATACGTAAAATTCCCTTAAATAATAAATAAGTAATAAAAAATAATTATTATTATATAAAAACAACCTAAATGAACAAGTGAAAACGGTCCAAGTTTTATAAAAGGTTTTTTTTTTTTTCTTTTGAAAGAGAGAAAAGCTTGGGTTTCATACTTTCATTGCTCGGTATGTGACGTCACATGAGCGGCAGCCTCCAAAAACTGATCGGAGAAACAACACAAAGCGCAGTTAGCGCAAAAGCTCACTGTCCTTCAATAGCAGAAATAATATCACATTCACAAACTTTGAAAAAAGACGATGTAGTGCAACGATGCAGAATCGAAAGGGAAGTGCGATCATATGGAGTCACATCTGCCTCTACTCTTTTTCAGGAGTCATTGTTTTATTGGAGAAAGCGGCACGTAAGTTATTTTCCGATGAATCATTCCTTTCCAAACCGCTATCTGTGCTTAATGAACATATTTAGGCAACTGCGTCGGCATGTGGATGTGGTTTTTGCCTGTTCGGACATGTTGTATTATGAGTTTAGTTTTGTTATTGCACATTATTGCTGCTATGGTTTTACTGCATTTGAGCGCCTTTTTCAAGAATGGAGAGCAGGGGGCGTGTTCTGTCACACACACGCTTTACATTAGAGCCACTGTCCTGCAGAGTTTAGCTCCAACCAACACACCTGCCTGTAGCTTTCTAGTGATCTTGAATACGTTGATTAGCTTGTTCAGATGTGTTTGATTAGGGTTGGAGCTAAACTCTGCAGGACAGTGGCCCTACAGGACCGAAGGTGCCCAGCCCAGCATTAGAGACATACCCCAAATGTTAAAAATAACATTATTAAATGATAAAATACTTGACAGATCATTAAATCATTAGTTTGTACATTCAAATACGTATTATACATGTTTGTGAAGGACTTATTAAAGTTATAATAGTTTACCAATCGTTCAGTAAAAAGAAATGTAAAATAAGACGATTCTTTTTTTATCTATTTTGTTAAAAATTTATATTTTTTTTCCTGTGCAGTCACACAAATGGGAATGACAAATTAAGATAATTAAAGATTAAATGCTTTCAAACATATTTGATCATTGATGCAGACTTCATCAAATATGAGACAAAAGTCATTCGGTGCTGATTTAGTTCAGTTCAATAACTATAGTTCATCAATAATGAAATGCGTCCATTTCAGCTATAAGCAGCTCTACAGAAGACAATAGTGTTGTTATTCAGCTCGAGTCAATGTTGATTCAGTTCATCTCAGTAACAGTGTTGTTGTTGAAAATGGACTCTGTTGTTTGACTTATTTGTTGTTTCTGTCATCAGTCGTACTGTGCTTTACGCACTACCTCTGGATGGGAAAGGAGCTGCTGGCCTGGCTGACTCTGGCTCTGTGTCTGCCTGTCACGGCTGTGCAGCTGCTTAGTCTGAAGTGGTACATCACTGATGCAGAAAGATCCAAGCCCTCACTTCTCCTTATGTGCTGTCTGCATCTGGGCGGCTATCACAGGTCAAAAACGTTCTATCAGTTAGAACTGTTTTAATTCAGTTATAAAGAATGAGGTGGAAAACTGTACTAAATTACTGTACAATATAATGACAGTGATATATAATCGAGAGAATTCATGAGAACATGTTCAGATCCCATTTAACTCCAAAATCATGAAAATGTCATAATGTAAAACATCTTAAAGGTCCTATAATAGGTTTATTTTCTTTAAAAATATATAATATAAAAAATAATAACAATGTACACTATCATTCAAAAGTTGATAGATTATTTTTCAGCAAGGGTCAAAAGTGACAGTAAAGACATTTATATTGTTACATAGATTTCTGTTCCAAATAAATGTTGTTTTTTAACTTTCTATTTATCAAATAATTGTGAAAAAATGTATCCCAGTTCCCACAAAAATATTTAGCAGCACAACTGTTTTCAACACTGATAATAATAAGAAATGTTTCTTGAGCATCAAATCAGCATATTGGAATGATTTCTGAAGGATCATGTGATACTGAATACTGGAGTAATGATGCTGAAAATTCAGCTTTGCCAACACAGGAATAAATTACATTTAAAAAAAAATATATTAAAATACAAAATGGTTATTTTAAATTGTAATGATATTTCACAATTTTGCTGTATTTTTGATCAAAAACATAAAAACGTTCTTTCAAAAACATAAAAAATAAATAAAAAATCTTACTGGCCCCCAAACTTTTGAACTGTAGTGTAATTTCTCATTGTGGTTGAAATAAGACCTGTGCATCTTCATATCAGGTTTCACCCAATGATATTATTTATCATACAACAGGCTACTGGTTTCTGAGATATGTTCATATGTTTTTTTATGCTTGCAGGTTGTGGTGCTGCATGAAGTCTCAGGGTGGGCAGGTTAAGTTTGGTGCATTACTAATGCAGCAGGCTGATGTGTCTGCTCTGTTACTGATCGAGGCCCTGACGCTCAGCCTGCCTCAAAGTCTACTGCAGACCTAGAGTTTATTCACCCTTCACCCTGGCTTTCTGTCACCAGGTACACAACTTCCCATTGGCACAAACAGAACTAGCGTCACGTCAACAGTTTTCTGTGGTAGTATTAAATTAGTCAGTGATTATGATTGAATGAGTCACTGAGTAATAAAAAAAATTGTGCTTTTGTAAATGGTATTATGGTAACACAATTGTTAAAGGGGTCATATGATGCGATTTCAAGTTTTCCTTTCTCTTTGGAGTGTTACAAGCTGATTGTGCATAGATAAGATCCCTGAAGTTGCAAAGACTAAAGTCTCAAAACCAAAGAGATATACTTTATCAAAGTTAAGACTCTGCCACAATAATGTACAGTATTTGAAAAATAATGTGTTTTTTGAACATTAAAGCATGTCAACATATTCTGTTACACCAAATACACAAAATAATGATCTTTAAAAAAGCATCATATGACCCCTTTAAGATATACTGTACTATTGTAATTGTGAATTAATCTGTGCACAATACTTAAAGTTCACCCAAAAATGAAAATTTGCTGAACTTTGCTTACCCTCAGGCCATTCAAGATGTAGATGAGTTTGTTTCTTCATCGGAACAGATTTGGAGTAATTACAGCTAATTCATCAGCTGTTTGAACTCTCATTCTGACGACACCCATTCACTGCAGAGGATCCATTGGTGAGCAAGTGATGTAATGATAAATTTCTCCAAATCTGTTCCGATGAAGAAACAGTTTCCTTGAATCAGTTTCATAGTCACAGGAAACCGTTTATGCCCTGGATCTCTTTAAACTTTTTACAGTGGTCTTATGTGTTGAATGTGTCCTGGTTTCTGGTCCTGTACAGCCGCTCATGCTTTCTGCTCCGTCCCGGTCACCTGCACATGACTCCTGCTGCAATGCTGTGCCAGCTCATATGAAGAGGGGGCATGCTGGGTGCCAGGGTGGCCAGCCTCATGTCCTTCTGCAGTTCGTTTCACTGGTGGTCCTGTGGAGTCGTGGGTGAGTCAAGCTATGTGTTATTGTGTAGACAAATACTGCGCAGACAAAAGCTTTCACAGTTAGTTTGCGTGACAGCCTTGAGTGCTTTTATGTAATTTGTCATTGCCTAACTCTTACCTGGAAAGGGATGATTAGTTAATAAATGGCTGCTTTGTGGTTGTCTCTTTAAATCCCTGCTCAGGTTTCCACTGGCTCATTATGGCATTCTGGCAAGTGTCCCAGCAGACAGACATCTGCATTAACCGTGGTTCCTGGCAGCTCTTCAACTTCGTCTTAGGGGCAATGCACATTTTTCTCTTCCTTAACGTTAAAGACGGTCCCTCCCGATACCGCATGACTGGATTCTATTTGGTTGGTCTCTCTGCACTGCAGTGTTATTTTAGTATTATTTATATACTATTATAGTATTTATTAATATTTTTAATTAGCTTTTGTTTGTATATATTCCGTTTTCAAGTTTTAGTAATTTTATTGTTTTTGTCATTTTTATTATTTTTTAAATATTTAAAAATAATTTTAAAATCATATATATATTTTAAATATATGCTTCATTTAAAGGTGACATATTTTTATTTAATTTTTAGCTTTAGTGATTTTAGTACTTCGCTTGGCAACTTTTCAGTCAAGAGAACATTTCTCATTTCTAACATTCAATAGTTAATAATTTAATTTTGTTAATATTTTTAATTGTAATAATTTTAACTATAGATAGTATAATACACTGTCAGTAATAAAAGTGCATGGGCAAATCTTCAGAATATTGTAACGTGCAAAATATTTAGAAAACTGGCAGGGCATACTTAACAAGTACTCAAGAGTGTGTGAAATGCTGCAAGATTGTTTTTTAACTTTTATGCTGGTGGTGACCATTTTAGAAATAATTAATCTTCTCTCATGAACAATAGCCCACATCTTTGTTAACGTATTTATTTTTTATTGTTTACCGATTTCAAATATCATGATCCAGAGCTTCTATGTA